TAAGTCACGTTTAGATTATAATGTATTTCGTATTTAGTCATTCATTTGAAAAAAACGATGATATACAACTGATTATTGATATTATTGATAATAGTAAAAATTTTCGAACAATTGAAATAAGTACGTGAAAAAGAAATTAAATGTTTTTAAACATAAATGCCTATTTTTTTAGAAACTGTTTTAATTAAATTAAAATAAAATATCTATTTAATTTTTATTGACGTATATTTATTTTTTTAGATCACGGTACCTAAAAATTACGAAGTTATAATGTCTGCACTTCTGCAAGATATGTGCAAAGGTCCGGAACAAAACGTATACAAATTCAACCAAATAAATCCGATACCATCTTACGTGGTGGTTATTTTTGTGTGGACGCACTAATAAAACAATACATTGGTCCAAAAATAAATATATATGTAGAAAAAAAATATTTTGACCGTTATATTAATAGGTTTGAAAGGACGATTAATTATATGTATATTGAAGATTGCCGAAAGAATGTGTGAACCTTTGGGGTAAAATAACTAAATTTGTTGATATTAACCCTTAAATGCCACCCGGGGTCCAGCGCACCCCAGACCCTTTATATAATAATAGCTTTAATAATCGTTAGTTGAATTTCGTATCAAAGTTGTATCACGTAAGACAGACAGAATAAAATTTCATATCTTGATATGCGTCAGTACTCATTGTCAGTTAAAGAAATGGAACGAATAGTGGAACACAGCCATTAACGGATGCATTTGGCAGCAGAAACTATATTTTTTAAATAATAATGCTTTTTTACTTTATTTTTTAGGATAATGATATGACCGGCCGAGATGCAGATGAGGCAGAAATGGCTGCATTAAGAGCCGAAAATAAAGAGTTGAAAAAAAAACTTGCCGCCATACCACCGGCACTACTACTGCCACAGCCGGTACCGGCTTCGACCTCGGGCACAGCCCCGGCACCGGCACCGACACCGACACCAACATCGGCACCGACACCGACACCGACACCAGCATCAGCACCGGTACCAGCATCGGCACCGGCACCAGCACCAGCCCCAGCACCTTCAATGCTAAAACGTAAGTACAAAAAAAACAACAATTTATTGTAGCAAATGGTATCAATTTTAAAATAAATAAATAAATTTCTGTTTTTTTTTATAGCAAAAAGATGGCAAAGGGCCGGGAGAAACATAAATCGGTACAGGAGTAGAGGAAGAGGAAGAGGAAGAGGAAGAGGAAGAGGAAGAGGAGAGTATACAACCAAAAGTTATAATGTGTATTTTTCATAAAATATATAATTGAATGATCATGTTCAATATAAACCATTCAAAATAAAAATATCGTAGAGAATTGTTGCAGAATCTCTCCCCGCAATATTACATATAAGTACGTATGACAAAAAGGGGCCCAAAAGGGGGTAGTGCATGCGTACCACACGCGGTTACTTGAATCATTCGATTCATTACTATACGTTCTCCGTTCGGAAATGGGCAAATTTATATTTTAAACGATGAAAAGTGCAAAAAGCGATGCGACATGTTCAAATTTAAGCAACATTACAAAAATGATCGCCCGTGAATATCGCGAAAATAATGTATTAGCTCTCATTCCTTATCGATTTCTACTTGAAGCGTATAAATTACGCGAAATATCAGCTGCGACGAGAATTACCTCGACACATCTTTAATAGCGAAAGTCGACTAATCGCGCTGATAACCGTCGTTTCACTGTAAAAAATTTATGTAAAATTTACAACTATTATAGTGGGTAATTTGAGACCCACTATAATAGGTGTAAATTTCCACACATTCTTAATTTGTGTAATTGTAATACAAAATTACTTTTTCCTTCCGTACTGTAATTTTGTAAAATTACAACTATTATAGTGGGTCTCAAAATTACCCACTATAATAGTTGTAATTTTACAGAATTTTTTTACAGTGTTAGAAATAATCGTATCTTTCTGTATCTATCTTCCTGTCGCGATTGCGTATATGTCGCGTCGTAATAATGCGACGATACACGGAGCGATACTGCCTACCGGCTCGAATCTCGACGTACGAATGATAGCGCGGCGACCTTCTGTAAACACGGCCCGCCGAAGATGTAACAATATGTTACGACTATAAATTGCGAGACTTCGTTTAATATCGCTAAAAAAAAAAGAGCCACAAAGAAATAATGCGAATCGGTAGGGGTATCGAAACGCAAAAGAATCGATCGCAGCGACCGCAATAACCTCGCGCGGAAATGCACGTGGCGCTTTTTTGTGTCTGGTTACGCGGTCAGGCCAGAAATTACCTCCACGTACGTACATTTTGTGGCGCACGAGATCCACCGACCGCGGGGTGATAGGGGCAGGAGAGATGGGGGACTGGGAAGCCCGAGGGTTGTTGACGGAGGCGGGGAAAGAGACCGGGCCGGGCTTCGGGGCAATCTGCAGATACCTCGGCTGTGCCTGATTACGTTGCTACCTCTCTAATTACACGGCAACCTGCGACGATACTCGACCCGACTGCCTGAAACGAAGCGGTTCGTGGACCTTCGCCTTCGTGGCTGTACCGTGCCAGGGGGATGGCGAAGAGAGGGGCGAACGGTTTTACCGCGATAGCACGAACCGTCGCCGACACCACCCCGGAGGTGAATTGCATTTCGCTTTACGAATGTCGACGGGGTGGCGACAAGACATGTCGACTTCTTCTCGTTATCGGAGATAACATGATATATACGCAGGATAAACTGTAAAATGGGTGATCATGCGCTAGGACGAACGTAATTGAAATGCAGTTTTTTTTTAAGAGCAGCAATTTTTCTATAGACTTACGGATATAATTTTTTTTTCTCCGCAAAAATTTGACGTTATATCTATTTGCAACATCAGAGATATATGTATATGTATGCAGAAGCGTTAATTAAATGAAAATTTTGTTTGTCTACTAGTGCGGGAGGTCAAGATCATCAGAGCTGGCTGACCTAATGTGTATTTTTACCTCAACAATCAAATAAGAGATACATTAATATTTATTTTTTAGCATATTGATCATTTATTAATCGACTTGTAATATAGAATATATTATATTTGTAAAAAAGTGGCTTTTTAATTATTTTTATATTATTACTTCGATACTTATTCGGGAGGAAAAACAAAATTCTAATTTTTAATAGAATAATCACGTACAACTTTTAAACACGTACGCCTTTGCACTTTAAAGAATGGTGTCGACATTTATCAAAAAACGTTTTCCATCCGAAAACAATTTCCCTAAAGTGTGTAACATCCAGAGATTTCAAACTAATAAACCGTAATCGAGAGACCGCATTACGATGGTCCTGAGAAATCTGAGGATCACTACGATGCTGCTGTGAGACTCCCTTCGAGGAAGGTCGTCGAACTCCCAGAAGTGTATTTCATTCCTGTAACGAGGTTTTCGAGGGACTACCTGGAACTCGGTAACGAGCGATTTTCACGGTTGACTCGGACTCCTACCCCGTGTCGCGGCAAAAAGTTACCGTTTTGTTATTCCAATAGGAAAAGAACAAGCACGTCGCACGCTACAAGTCGCGTGTACTTTCTTGGAAGAAAAACTGTTCGACACGCGATGCCATTTACGTTGTAAAGTATTCAGCATATGAACAACGTATCAGAAACTGTAACGTCTAACGGTCTAAACTTTTCCTTCGAAAGTCACCGAGTGAAGTGCGTTCTAAGACTAAGTTCCGCCAGCGATACGTGCAGAATGATAAATTCGTACACGTTCGCGCGTTTGACACGGTCCTTCTACTAATGTGAACGAAAATGTTTTCCCTAATATATTCTAAACGTTCATTCAAACACCCACGGAAATCATCGCGATATATCTAACTCCCCGCGTACATTTCGACAGAACCGTAACGCGCTCCCCGACCGCTCTCCGCGTGCGTGCATGCATGTGTGTTTATCAAAACGCGCAACGCGTGGCCGGGAAAAGTAGGATGCAATTACCGTCAGCGAGCGAGCGGGCGAACGGCAACGGGCATTTCGGTCACGGCTGTTGCCACTCCCACGTAAAACATAATGCGCCCGGCTATCATTACCGCTGCGTGACGCCCCCCCGAAAAACGGGGGATGGCGCCCGTCGACGAGGGGGCGCAAAAAGGGCAGGGAGAGGGAGGGACGGAGGGCGAATGCGCTGCGCGTTCCCAGGAGCCCCCGGGGCGCCGCTGCCGGTGCCATTGCCCTCGTCTGCAACGGACGTGATTCGTTATCACGCTTTTGTGCGCGTCCGATTTAGAGCGGTCCGTGATATTAAACTGCGAATAGAAAGGGGCAGAGAGAGAGAGAGAGAGAGAGAGAGAGAGAGAGAGAGAGAAAGAGAGAGAAAGAGAGAGAGAGAGAAAGAGAGAGAAAGAGTGTGAAAAACGAAAGAGAGTGACTGCAAAAATCGGCGGTCTGAATGATTCGCGCGAGGCGATTATACCTGTGCGCAGATATTAGCATTAAATTTGAGAAAGAGGTCATTGCAAAGAGAAAGAAGAAAATTTGAAATGCCTCTTTTTGAAATGTAACATTGTAGTCAAAATGCATAAATTATATCGGCTACTGACAAAGAATTTGATGATAAAAATTTTCTAAAAAAAAAATAAATGCTTTGCAAATTTAAGAAATACTATATATAACTGTTAATTAAAATATAAGACTTGTATTTTAATCTCAAGCACATAGCAACCAATATGTACGTAACGAAGTAAATAAGTATAACAATTCGATTATCGAACAGATCGTCAGCCGAATATCAAGTGCTCATGCATGAGTTCGAGACGCATTTCTTCCAGCTACGATTTTCCGTGTGGAAATTGCGTTAGGGCTTTGATAAGGCCCCTATTAATTTTCCCTAACTTTGTTTAAGCCCTAATGTGGAAGCCCAATAAGAACCCTTTAAGGCCGGTCACGCTTTTTACTGAGGGCCCTTAGAGGCTAAATAATCAGGACCTTGATAATTGCCTTATGAAATCCCTTATATTCCCCTAAGATGGCCCTATCATTCCCAGGAATATACCCGCTTTTTTGAATGTGTACCTTTTTTAGATGTATCAATACAAAATTAAATTAAATTTACAGAATTTAATTTATTTATTAATACATATTAATGACTCGATTGACGAATATTTACGTAAAGTGGACTTATAGTGACTTAATAATACGACTATACACTCTTAAGCATGTACCGCGTAAAATAGTTCTCGAGTTCCTGATAAGAATTGCAAAACCTTATATACTTAGCATTATTTTAAAAAATCATCATCAAAAGTTATTCTTTCAAAGCGCTTAGAGTTCTACCCAAAACTCTCATCAGAACGCCTGGAACTTTCAAAAAAATTTGTACGTGGACTTAGTCGAATTTTACGCGTTGCATCTTCGAAGTCGAATATCTTCGTAACTAGTAACCGGATCGCTTTCGACCATAATAATTTCTTTTAAAACTCTTATAGATCTATCCAAAATTCCCATTAGAACGCCTGCAACTCTTAAACTAACTAGGGGCGATCCGGCCACTAGTTAAGTAGTTAAGAAAATATTCGAAGATACAACGGATAAAATTCGACTAAGTCCGCATAAAATTTTTTCAACTTCTATCAGTTCCAAAATAGACATTTTGCTGAACGCAATTTTAACGAACGAATTTTATCTGTGAAAGTATTTTACAGTAAAAATAAAAATAATTACAGTATAAATAATTACTTTT